ATATATATATGTATATATATATATATATATACATATATATATATATATATATATATATATATATATATATATCAGATAAATGAATAGCCCCCCCAGGCTGGGCCGGCCGACCCCGCAACCATCGGGGGACGCCCGCTGATCCCCCCCCGGTTTCGCTCCCCAGAGGCGGCCCGGAGAGGCCAAGAGGGTGCCAAAGCGAGCCAAGAGGGTTCCAAGAGGCCCCCAAGACGGTGCAAGAAGAGCCCGCGCTGCCCACTACTGCCCAGGAGGACTCCCAGAGCACTCCCAAGAGGGACCCAAGAGGCCCAAATCATTGAATTCCCACGGGAAACGTACATTTGGCATGTACGACTTTTCAGCTTTCGCGGCTCTCAAGACGGTCCAAGAGGCTCCCAAGACTTCCCCAAGACAGCCCAAGACAGCCCAAGACGTTCCCAAGAGGCCCCCGAGCCAGCGCAAGAGGGCGCCAAGACGGCCCAAGGGCCGCCCAGGAAGGCCAAGATGGCCCGGCGCCCAAGACGGCCCAAAAAGGCCCCGAGTCGCCCAAGACGGCCCAAGACGGCCCCAAGACGGTCCAAGAAGGCTCCTAGGCGTCCCAAGAGGCCTCCAAGAGCACTCCCAGGAGGGCCCCAAGAAGCCACAATCGTTGAATTCCGATGGGGAAACGTACACTTCTATCATATGCGACTTTTCTGCCTTCACACGGCTTTGAAGACGGCCCAAGAGGCTCCCAAGACTTGCCCAAGAGAGCCTAAGATATTCCCAAGAGGCCCTCAAGACAGCCCAAGAGAGAGCCAGGACGGCCCAAGGGCTGCCCAAGACTGCCCAAGTTAGCCCCTAAGCGGGCCCCAAGAAGGCCCAAGAAGGCCCCGAGTCGCTCAAGACTGCCGGAGATGGCCCCGAGAAGGTCCAAGAAGGCTCCGAGACGTCCCAAGAGGCATCCAAGAGCATTCCCAAGAGGATCCCAAGAGACCGAATTCGCTACATTCCTGTAGGCGAAACGTGCATTTCAAGCATGTACGATTTTGGGGCCTTCACGGCTTTGAAGACGGCCCAAGAGGCCCCCAAGACTTCCCCAAGCGAACCGAAGACGCTCCCAAGAGGCCCCCAAGATAGCCCAAGAGGGCGCCAAGGCGGCCCAAGGGCCGACTAAGACGGCTCCAGGAGGAGTCCAAGAGGGGAACTCCGACTCAAAATAGCAGCCCTCCGCCCAAAGAACCTCCCAGGAGGCCCCAAAAGTCCCCAAGAGGCCCCAAGAGGTTCTCAACAGACCCTGCGAATCGAGGCCCGAGCGAGACCGGGACTGCACGGGGACTTATGTATCAATGGGGAGGGGGTCCCAGAAGGCCCGGAGTTCATTGATTCGGTACCCGGCCGTTTTGGACCCGTTTGGGGGCGCCAGAACGCGTCAAAGGAGGGGAAGGGGGGCGACGGAAGTGCCCGACAGACCTCCAAGAGGACGCCAAGATGGCCTAACAGCGTTCCAAGAGAGCCCAAGACCGCACAAGAGCTTTTCAATATTGGTCCAACATGGCTTTAGTACAGCCCAAGAGGGCCTCAAGACGGCCAAGATGTCCTCAAAAGGATTCCCACGAGGCCCTCCAGAGGCGAAAAAGTAGTTGTTATTCCAATGCGCTTGCAAGTGTTTCGTGTTCTCGCTTTGTCGTGCCTCCGACGGTCCAAGACAGCCCACGAGGCCTCAGCCCACGAGCCCCCCCCCCCCCATATATATATATATATATATATATATATATATATATATATGTATGTGTGTATGCATCTGTATACGTAGATGTATATGCATGTGTATATGAGTATGTAAACATATATATATATATACACACATATAGAGATAGAGAGAGGAAGAGAAGGAGATATGGGTACGGGGCCGGGGGTCTTCTCCCAAGTGCCTCGGGCCGCCACGGGGGCTCCGGGCTCCCCGGGCGCCCTCTCGAGCGGCCCGAGAGCCGCCGAGACGGCTTCCAGTGGCGTCACGACGGCACCAGGAGATTTCGAGATACGCCGTTGGCGTCACAACGACACCAGATGGAGGGAGAGACTCTCCTCTTCTCCTCTTCTCCCCCTCTTCCTCGGAGGAGGAGGAAGGGGGGAGGAGGAGAGCACGAGGGGAGGGAGGACGGGAGAGGCTTTCGGACGTGCTCGGAGGCTCCAAACATGCTCCCCGAGGCTCTCCAGAGGTTTTCTTGGGTTCATTGAGGTTTTCGGTGGGTCTCGGAGGCCTTCGGAGGCTTTCTAAAGTTTTGCTTGCAAAGGCAAGCAGGAGAGGGATGGGGCAAGAGCGACCAGGACTGAGAAGGAGAAGGACTCCATGATAACTTTACCGAGATGAGATGGGCTTATCATGTTCCTGCTCTTCATTCGCCCCGGGATGCTCAGAAAGCCAACGGTAGAGCAGAACAGGAACCGGGGAGAAGAAAACAGTTTGCGAGCCATGGGTGAAGACAAGTTGATTGTTCGTTGTTTCATGACATCCGCCATGCGGCCATGCGTACCTCCCTGGATAACCGGGAGCACATAACACCGTAATGGTTAACATTGATAACCCGAGCAGGCAGGGACACGCCAGGCGCCCTGCAGTTAGTGCATGTTGCGCGCGATCGGAACCATTTGGTTTTCACTTGCAGTGCGCAGTGGGGATAGCCTCTGCGCTTGACGCTCGCACAGCTGCTGCACTGCAATGTGGTAACGATTATCTCGCGCATTGCGCGTCTAATACGCGGCGTTTCCGACTTCCAGTGGAGTCCGAGATGTGCACGCATGTCTTCGGCAGAGTTCGGTATGGTTTTGTTGCCGAGGTATATACAGGTTGATGTTGACATGGGTTGCACACGTGTGGCATAGTCCAGAGATGATTAGTGTCTACTCGCGACGCGGCGCGTCGGCAGAAATGTCGAGAACGACGTCATCGAGAACAAGCTGCGCATTGCGCGCCCCCTAGCCCTGATTTGCCTTATCTTCGGGTATGCGCCCATGCATGTTGTGCAGCGTGATGGTGGCCTGTCAATGTGTCGCCTAGTAGGAGATACAGTTGGTACTTGGCCGGGGTACCCACAGTACTACGCGGCAAGATCGTGCTGCTCATGTGGTAGAGGCGCTCGTCTGAAGGATGTGTTCGTGTGGGCGTGTGCAGATGACGGTGTTGACGGATAGTCGATCGAGGAAAAGCAGGAGAGGCAGGGAAGGGGGTTCAGGGTTTTATCGAAGACGCGTGCGACGAATCACCGCCGCCCCGTGCACTTTGAGATACGCGTGTGTGGCCAAACGTTTGGGCAAAGTCTGGCCGAGCTATTGGGCCATGTGTTTCCCCAGCCGTTGTGGAAGCCCTTCGGACAGGATGTTGGGGAGGAAGATGAGGATGAGGAGAGGGAGGAAAAAGGAGCCTGATGAGGAGAAGTATGAGGAGATCTCTTGGAAGCCTCTTGGGTCGTTCTTGGAGCCTCCTGGGAGCTTCCTGGGGGCCTCCTGTAGGCCTCTTGGGGGCCTCCTCGGGCAGCTTGGGGGCCTTTGGGGCTTCTCGGGGGCCTCTTTGGTTGTCTCATGGCGTTCCAGGCCACTCTGACGCCGTCGGCAGCCGTTTTGGGAGCCTCTATGAGCCGTCTTGGGGCCCTCTTGGGGCGCTTCAGGGTCGTCGTGAAGGCCATTTTGGGCGTCTGGGAGGCCTTTTGGGCCATCTTGGGGCTCTTTTGGGGCCGTCTTGGGAGACTCTGAGGCCGTCTGGTGCCATCTTGGAAGCTTCTTGGGCGATCTTGTGGCAAGCGCGGGGGCCTCTTGGGCTGTCGGAAGGCCGATTTGAAGCAAATGCCCAAATTCTTTTAAACAACCCAAGGAGAATTAGTGACGGTAGCCTCTTCGGGCCTTCCTGGAGGACCTGTTGGAGGCCCTCTTGTGCGCTTCTTGGGCCGTCTTGGGCTCTCTTGGACCATCTCGGCGGTCTTGGAGGCATCTTGGGACCGTCATGGTGGCCATCTTGGGGCTATTTTCGGCTCTCTTGGAGCCATCTTGGCCGTCTTGGAGGCAGCTTGGAGGCCATCGTGGACCATCTTGGCCGTCTTAGAGGTCATCTAGGCCGTCCTGGAGAGGTTCTGGGGGAAATCTACGCGACCTTCCGGGTGACCGGCGGGCTGGCCCGACACCTCACTGGGAGTTCCAAAAGAACGAACACCACATATACGATACAGCACGCCGTGCACCCCTTTGGCAAGCCAACGGGGGACGGCGGAGTCGAAGACGCCTACGGCGAATCACCTCCGCCCCCTGCCCCTTTGGAAGCGCCTCTGTGGCCGACAGCTGGGCCAGAGCTTGGCCAAGCTATCGGGCCAGTTGTTCCCCGAGTCGGTTTGGAAAGGCTTCGGGGAACGCGTGGGGGAGCAAGAAGAGGAGGAGGGGGAGGATGAGGAAAAAAAGAGAAGGAGAAGGAGGAGGAGGAGGAGGAGGAGGAGGAGGAGGAGGAGGCCTCTTGGGCGCCTCTTGGGGCACTCCTGGGGCCTCCTTGGAGCTTCCTGGGGGCCTCTTGGATGGCCGTCTTAGGGCGTTCCTGGCTTGTCTGACGCCGTCGGAAGCCGTCTTGGGGGCCTGTCTGGGTCGTCTTGGAGCCCTCTTGGGGCATATCAGGGGTTCTTAGAGGCCATCTTGGGCGTCTTGGAGGCCTCTTGGGCCATTTGGGGGGCCTCTTGGGGCTGTCTTGGGGGGCTCTTAGAGAGAGAGAGAGAGAGAGAGAGAGAAAGAGAGAGAGAGAGAGAGAACGAGAACGAGAGAGAGAGAGAGAAAGAGAGTAAGAGAGAGAGAGCACGGGAGAGACAGAGACAGACAATGCCGTCATTTGGGGGAACTGGTTCGCGTTGGTCAGTGGTGGCAGCAGTATTGGAGACGATGCATGTTTTTTCAGTGAGAAACTTGTTGATGAAGAGAGGAATACACGTTGCCCGACAGCCCTCTGCATCATGGCCGTCCGGTTCGCAAACTCAGGTTTTACATAGCCTACGGAAGAACGTTGCAGCCTTTGTAGCCATTTTGGCTCTGTGTTCCTTGCTACACTTGACACTTGACATTGGAAAGAGCGCCCACGCAGTGCCGGGAATAAGAAAATCGGGGCCCCAGCTTCAAGCGCCCCCCCCCCCTCCCTTGGAAAAGGAGGGGGGGCTTCCGAAGCTACCCCCCCGCCCTTCCCCCTTTAATCGGCATTTTCTTCCAGCTGGGGGGGGCCTAGCTATTTTGACCTCGACCGCCGCACCACATGAGCCACAAGGACTACTGGTCAATACATCTGTGGGTAAAGCAGTGAGTAAATTAGCCGTGCAGCATGCTCAAAACACAGGCTGGTACTCGGCGGCGACGCCGTGCGCACACTGGTGTCTCATCAGGCCTGGGCAGGCGAGGCATCAGTCAGCTGCACAAGACATCTAGCTCGACTGATCACGCACAGGCATGAGAGGAGGCAAGGGTGGGGCACCTGACGTGAGACCTGCACCAGAGACCCAAGCCTGGGTGGCCCTTCACTGGCACACATAGCCCAAGGGGGCCATGCTACAACAGGACGGGGCTAGCACAGAGTAAGAATGAGGCCACAGAACAGACGGACTGCACTGGGTCCACAGACAAGGCTCCGCCTCCGCGGCGCAACCACCAGGTACACAATGGGCCCACACTCCACTCCGGAGTATGGCCAAGAACGGGCACAATTAAAAAGGTTCAAGAATATCGTCGATCGACGCTGTCACATGGCCGCGCCCATGGTAATGGTGGATGCCACGACAAAGGAGACGCCAACCAGTGACAGCGTTCCTGGTGGGAATTCCTTCACACCGCGTCACCCAGGCGTGTAATCATTCCACCTGTGGAGTGATACCTGCATCTGAGGCTTATGTAGAGTATCGGGCCATTCAAACACAGAAACGCGATGATTCGGTGCCCTAACCGTTGCAAAACATTGCCACCTAGCTTGGAGCTATTCGAACAAATTCCAGGTGGGGGTTCCTGCGGGGATCTTTTTCCGAGCAAAGCCTTGAACACACCTCCAAATCCCAGACCACTTCCTCCAGTCGTGTGTGGTGACCTAGGGGGCTTAGGAAGAGCATGAATAGGAATAGGAGGATTGTCCAGAGAAAGCTTAGACCACAAAGGCAGCAAGTTAGCAGCAAGGATACAATAGGCACGCGAATCGGTAACTAAAGCACCAACCTCCAGCATGCTCAAAGGGTCCGATGAGTGCAGTTGGAGCCCGTGTTTAGCACATTGCTACCTCTGCGAAGGAACCTCTCGCAGGGTCTGATGCCTTCTTGGTTCACCTCGAGGTGGGCCTTCGTCCTGAGTATAGCTCTTCGGCGATTAAAGTCGAACAGACTTCCCTGCATGATCATACCTGAGTAAGCTCGCTTGCCCGAATACCTTTCGGGCAATGGCAGAAAATAATGGTGGACAACATTGGCGCAATCGCTATACAGAGTAGAGGGAAAGGTAAGCAACTGTGAAACCACGCATCTGGCTGAATATTCCACCGCCTGAGCCGTCTGAGGGAAGTGGGTCCAAACAGGCCACCTCTCCAAGGCACTTCCCATCATCCGAATTCATACTGATACACCACGCAGCACGAGACAATTCACGGACAACGTGCCACTGGCATAATCCATCGAGGAAGAGGTGACCCCACACCTCCCCGTTGAGAGGAACCTTGGGACCATCAGGGCTCGAGAGCTCAGGAAAATGCCAAGCATAAAGCAAGGCTTCCGAACCTCCCAGGGCTGGACGCGGCACAACGTCGGCGGGATGAGCGAAAGCTCGAGTATAGAACGCCACAACGTGGCTGTCGGCCTCAGCTGCCCACACCGTGCTAGCATCAGCAACGACCGATGCGGGGAGGGGCCATAGCCAAAAGGGGGGGGCGCTCGGAAGCTGCCCCGCCTCCCCCCTTTCCGGGGCCCCAGGTAAGCCCAGCCCAGACTTCCTTTTCCAAGGGGGGCTTCCGAAGCTACCCCATCCCTCCCCCATGTTGTTTGGATGTTGTAGCGGGGGGGTACCTGGCTAAGGGGGGAGCGGGGGGGGGCTTGGAAGCCCCCCCCTCCTCTTATTTTTCGGGGCCCCGGGTAAGCCCGGGCTCCCTTTTCCAAAGGGAGGGGGGCTTCCGAAGCTGCCCCCCCTCCCTCCCTTTTGTTGGCATTTCCAGCTGGAGGGCTCTGGCTAGCTAAAGGGGGGGGGGCTTCGAAGCTACCTCTCCCCTGTGGTTTTTGGTGCCCCTTTGGTTTTCGGTGCCCCTTTGGTTTTCGGCGCCCATTTGGTTTTTGGCGCCCCTTGAGTTTTCGGCGCTCCTTTGTTGTTCAGTGCCTCTTTGGTTTTCGGCGTCTTCTCTTTGTTTTCGGCGCACCCTTTTGTTTTTTGGCGCAACGTTGGTTCTCGGCGCCCTGGTTTTTTCGGGCGCCCCTTTAAGTTTCGGCACCTTCTTGGTTTTCGGCGCCCTTTTGATTTTCGGCACCCCTTTGATTTTCGGCTCTCTTTTGGTTTTCGGAGGCCCTTTGGTTCTCGGAGTTCCTTTGGCTTTCGGCGCCCTTTTGGTTTTCAGCGCCCTTTGGTCTTCGGCGCTCCTTTTGTTTTCGGTGCCCGTCTGCTTTTCGGTGCCTTTGTGGTTTTCGGCGCATGTTTGGTTTTCGGAGCCCTTTTCGTTTTCGGCGCCCTCTTTGGTTTTCGGCGCATAGCTGGTTTCGGCGACCCTTTGGTTTTCGGCGCCTCTATGGTGTTCGGCGCTCCCTTTGGTTTTCGGCGCCCCGTTCGGTTTTCGGCGCCCCTTTGGTTTTTGGCGCCATTTTTGTTTTCCGCGCCCTTTCGGTTTTTGGCGCCTCTTTGGTTTTGGTTTTTGGCACTTATTTCCTTTGGTTTTCGGTGCCATTTTGGTTTTCGGCGCTCCTTTTGGTTGTCGGCGCTCCTTTGATTTTCGGCGCCCTTTTTGGTTTTCGGCGCCCCTTGGGTTTTTGGCTTCCCTTTGATTTTCGTCGCTCCTTTGGGTTTTTGGCGCCCCTTCTGATTTTCGGCGCCCTTTGGTTTTCGGCGCTCCTTTGGATTTCGGCGCCCTCTAGGGTCTCGTCGCCCCTGTGGTTCTGGGCGCCCCTTTGGTTGTCGGTTTGCCGTTGGTTTTCGGCGTCCGTTTGGTTTTCGGCGCTCCTTTTGTTTTCGACGCTTTTTTGGTTGTCGGCGCCCCCTTGGTGTCCGGCGTCTTTTTGGTTTTCGGCGTTGCGTTGGTTTTCGGCGCCCTGACTTTTTCGGGCGCCAATTTGGCTTTCGGCGGCGTCCTGGTTTTGTCGGCGCTCTTTTTGGTATCGGCGCCTCTTGTTGTTTTCGGCGCTCTTTGGGTGTTCGGCGCCCCTGTGGTTTTCGGTGCCCTTTTGGTGTTCGGCGCATCGTTGGGTTTCGGCGTTCTTTTGGTTTTCGGCGCCTCTTTTTGGTTTTCGGCGCCCATTTTGGTTTTCGGCGACCATGTTGGCTTTCGGCAGCCCCTTTTGGTTTCCGGTGCCCATTTGGTTTTCGGCGCACCTTTGGTTTTCGGCGCTCCTTTGGTTTTCGGCGCTGTTTTGGTTTTCGGCGCTGCTTTCGTTTTCGGTGCCCCGTTCGGTTTTCGGCGCCCTTTTTGGGTTTTCGGCGCTCCTTCGGTTTTGAGCGCTCTTTTGGTTTTCTGCGCACTCTTGAGTTTTCGGCTACCTGTTGGTTCTCGGCGCCAGTTTGGTTTCTGGCGCCCCTTTGGTCTTCGACGCCCTTTTGGCTCTTCGGCACCCTATTGGCTTTCGGCGCCAGTTTGGTTTTCGGCGCCCTTTTGGTTTTCGGTGCCCCTTTGGTTTTCGGTACCCGTGTGGTTTTCGGCGCTCCTGTGGATTTCGGCGCCCCTTTTGGTTTTCGGGGCTATTTTTGGTGGCGCCCCTTTGGCTTTCGGTGCCCTTTTGGTTTTGGGCGCCCCTTTTGTTTTCGGCGCCCCTTTGGTTTTCGGCGCCGCTTTAGTTTTCGATGCCCTTTCGGTTGTCGGCGCTCTTTGGTTTTCGGCGCCCCTCTTATTTTCGGCGCCCGCCCCTTCTGGTTTTCGGAGCCCTTTTGCTTTTGCAATTTTGTTGTTCGGCGACCACTTGGTGTTCGGCGCCCTTTTGGTTTTCGGCGCTCCGTTGTTGTTCGGTGCCCTTTTTTCGGCGCTCTTGTGATTTTTGGCGCCCTTTGGTTTTCGGCGCCCTTCTTGTTGTTTGGCTCTCTTGTGGTGTTCGGCCCCTTTTAATTTTCGGCGCCCTTTTGGTATTCGGAGCAGCGATGGATCCGGTGCCCTCTGGTATTCGTGCCCCTTTGGTTTTCGGCGCCCTTGTGGTTTTCAGCGCACCTTTGGTTGTCGGAGCTCCTCTTTTGGTTTTTGACGTCCCTTTTGTGTCTGGCGCCCTTTGGTTTTCGGCGCCCTTTTTGTTTGTTGGCTCGCCTTTGGTTTTCGGCGCTGTTTGGGTTTTCGGCGCCCTTCGGATTTCGACGCCCTTTCGGTTTTTGGCGCTTCTTTGGTTGTCGGGGCCCTTTGGTTTTCGGCGCGCTTTCGGTGCCAGGTGGGCCTTCGGATTTCGGTGCTCTGTTGGTTTTCAGCGCTCTTTGATTTTCGGCACACCTTCCTTTATCCAAAAAGAGGGGGGTGGGTCCAAGCCCCCCCTTCCTTCAGCCAAAACAGGGGGGAGGGGGGGGGCTTCCGGCAGGAGGGGGTCCAAAGCGGAGGGGGGGGTAGCTAAGCCCTTCCTCCCCTTTGGAATGGGGAGAGGGTGGTCCACCCTCTCCACTGGAGGTAGCTAGGCCCCTTCCCCTTTGAAAAAGGTGGGGAGGGAGGGGGGTAACTTCCGGAGCGCGAAAGGGGAGGGGTGAGGGGCGGGAGAGCTTCCGAGGGGCAGACAAAAAGGGGGGGAGTGGGTGGGGGGGCTTCGGGCAGGGGAGGTCCAAAGGGGGCGTGTAGCCAAACGAGGACCCCCCCCTTTGCTCCGGCGCTGCGTGGGCGCTCTCCCCGACATGGTGAGTGCCATTCCCGCGGTGCTCCTGGCCTGGCGATCAACCTATGGCTGCGCTGAAGCTGCCGGCCTGCGCGCTGCGCCTCGGCCACTCGTGCAGGCCCCTCCGCCAACGGCCGGCGCCATCTCTCCAGCTGGCGTGAGCGCTGACAGCGGCGTCAAGCAGATCTTTGCGTCGCAGTTCGATGATCTCGTCAGCACCGCCAAGAAGCACAAGCGGGGTCGCCGGATGGCGGACTTCACCCGGGACGCCGAAAACAATCCTCTGCAGACGCTCCTGAACACATGGACGGAGGGAAGCTACAGCCCGGTGCACAGGCACGACCTGTGGGCCGAGACGTTCGTAGTCTTGAAGGGCGCCTTGGCGTTCTTCACTTGGCCCAATGGCACAAACGCCGACCCGCGTTGCGACGTGATTCAAGATGCTGGTGATGTCCGCGGCATTGTGGTAGAGGCAAAGGAATGGCACGCCATGACTGCAGCACCAGCGAGCTTGGGATACCCAGGACATGCCGTCGTATTCGAGACATCAGGGCACAAATTCAACAAGAATCTCAGCACGCACGAGCTAGCCAATTTCGCTCCCCTTGGCGATGGAGTGGATGGAGATCCCGATTTTTTCACAAGGCACCTTCTCCCATTCTGCAAACCAGGCAGCAGCCGGCCATGATGCGAGCAGCGTGGGAAGCACAGCCAACACTGAATGTCATTAGCCTTGGCAAGGCAAGAGAAAGAAATTGATACCACAGCTTGGACCCACGTCTTATTCTCTACACAGCGTCGACCCCCAGAGGTTTCGACCCATTCCCCTGGACCACGTTTTCATCCTGAGTTGTTCTTTTGGCGGAAATATCCGAAGCCTCCCGTCGTGTTCTTTCAAGACGCGAGGGGGTCTGGGTCCGAGCTTCTTCGAACATTTCAGGGCCCATTTAGCCAAAGCCTCCCGTCGTGTTCTTTCAAGACGCGAGGGGGTATGGGTCCGAGCTTCTTCGAACATTTCAGGGCCCATTTAGCCAAAGCCTCCCGTCGTGTTCTTTCACGACGCGAGGGGGTCTCGGCCCGAGCTTCTTCGAACATTTCAGGGCCCATTTCGATCCGATCGGTCCAACTAAAATACGGACTTTGGCCGACCCGATCCGATTCGTTCCCGACTTCCCGACGATCCGATGCCGCCCGATGCTTACATGGCGTTGTTGTGCATCCTGGCGCGAGCGATTTGATTCGATTTCCACTCCGCGCCAGTGCAGCCCGATCCGACGCGACTCTCGATTCGATCCGGTTCCCCGAATCGATGCTGACTGATCTGGCCCTTCCGCGCAGTCGAAGGCGCCAGAAGGAGCGGATGTACCCATCACCGCCATGCGTCCGCAGGTCCGTTTCGGGCCAGGTACCGTGCACGGTCTCCCGGCCTCGGGAGCTCCTCCTCTTCCCCGTCCTCCACCTCCCCTTCCACCTCCCCCTCTACCTCCTCCTCCTCCTCCTCCGCCTCCTCCTCCTCCTCCTCCTCCTCCTCCTCCTCCTCCATTGCGATATTCGGTCATGTTATATTATCCTCCTTCTCTCCTCCTCCTCCCCCGCCTCCGCCTCTTCCTCCTTCTCCTCCTCCTCCTCCCCCTCCTCCTTCTCCCCTCCTCCTCCTCCTCCTCCTTCTCCTCCTCCTCCTCCTCCTCCTCCTCCCCCTCCTCCTCCTCATCATCATCATCATCATGTTTCTCCCACTCCCCCTTCTCCTCCGCCTCCTCCTTCGTCCTCCCTCTATCCCCGTCCAACCCCTTCCCTCTACAATCACACAATATGCATACTACTCTCTTCTCTTCCCTGATCACTTCCAGAAGATGCTCGGCCCCCTCCGCGTATTGTTATCTTACACAGGATTCCAGGGAGTTCGGTTGTCGTTTGGTTGTTTTACGATGTTGTTCCCGCTAAGGCGCTGGCCTCATTTTCGGGCTTCCGCTTGTTCCGAATCTTTCTCCCTCTGCAGCGCTGGCCTCATTTCCGCACGTCCGCTCGTTCCGAATCGTGCTCTCGCTGCAGCGCTGGCCTCATTTCCGCGCTTCCGCTCGTTCCGAATCGTGCTCCCGCTGCAGCGTTGGCGTCATTGTTTCCAGTGCCATGCCTCGGAATGCAATGCAATGCTATGTGGTGTTCCGCTGTGCGACGCCACGCCTTCAGCTGCAATGCTAGGATATGCAGTGCTTGACTACGCATTGACACGCCAAGCTATGCCATGCTAAGCTTTGATCTTCAACGCCATGCTATGCCATGTTCTGTTCTGTGCCGCTGTGCGATGCCATTATTTGGCGTTACAATGCTTTGTGCTGCAATTCTTCAATACGCAACGCCACGCCATGCTATGAACGCTCTGCCGTGCTCTTCTGCGCCCTGCTATGCCGTGCTCTACGATGCATCGCGCACCCTCTCGGGATCATTGCCCTGCTCGACATCCGACTGCGCGAATGGAGAGGAGATCTGCGCCATGATAAGGGATGGGAGGGAGAGGTAGGACGTTGGATATGACGCAAGCGCACCTAGCTCGCCCCTCGCCCCTCCCCTCACCTCCTGGGTGGGGGCAGAGTCGACGTTCACCAGGGCCCTGGGGTCCAACTCTCGGGGGCGTCCAGGAGGGAGGGGATCGACCACAAAGTCGGTTCACCCCCCATGTACTGGTTCCTCGAATCTACGAAAAGTATGTAAATTATTCCGTACATCTACGGAGCATTCTACGCATTCCTCGTAGACTCAACGGGACAGTCATGTGGGGTAAACCGATTATGTAGTCGATCCCCTACTCGAAGGAGGGAGGGGAGGATTTCCCTGAGATCTTGGCGTCGCACTTTTGTTTTACGACAGGCGATTGTTCCTTGCGTCGGGCCCCCCGACACTCACGGATCGACTGGGCTCGACATGCAGCAGGAAGACGGGGTCCATGGTTCCGGTCAAGGTTCTCAACGACGTTGCATCTTTCACGACGGTGGGTCTCGGGGCTAGAGTTAAGTCGGGCTTGTCCCTCTACAGGAGGAATATTCGAACACAGTGTAAAAAAATATGGGGACGATTTTCTAATATTTTGTCAGCATGCTTGGAGTATGTTTTGAGTATTTTCCATTCTTCGCCCAAAATCCGCCTGTAGGGGGACAGGCCCGACCTAAGGCTAGAGGTATGTGGACATCATGGCCAGGGCTGAGAATTCCTCCAGTGTCAGGCCCCCCTCTCATTCTTCCTAGTAATAGCTTCTT